GGGGACATGAAGATGGCCATGAACGCGCTCACGACCAGGGAGCAGAAGGTGGAGGAGACGAGCTCAGCGTCGAGCGGCCCGCCTGGGCCGGCCGCGCAGGGCCACTGAGGGATCCCACGGACTCTCAGGCTGCCTGGCTGGCGGGGTGTCTGGACAAGAAAGCAACGCCAGCATGGACGTTCCTGACCGGGGCTGCGAGAGTGAAGCTAATGGAGGTCTGTTGCTCACCAGCGTCGGGCCTATCTCATTTCGTGATGCAAGAGTCGGGTGCGGACAGTGCGAGTCGAATGAGTGGCTGGAACGGTTTTGATTTATCCACCACTGCAGGCCTGCAAAAGGCGAGAGCTGAGCGAGAGCGAGTCCGTCCTGAGCATATGTGGTTCTCCCTACCTTGTGGGCCATGGTCCGGCAATAACAATTTCAATCGTAACAAGCCAGAAATCTGGGCGCAGGTTCTCTCGAGTCGGAAGAGGTCCAAGCGCCTCATCAGGAACTGCCTGATCCTCGTCATGGACCAGGTGGCGGACCGAGGTCATGCACACTGGGAGTAGCCAAAGGACCTGCATCCGCATCGGTGGCAAGAGCTGAAGCAGGTCTTCAGGGAGTGCGACATGCGTCCGGTGGTCTGCGATGGCTGCATGCTGGGCGTCAAAGCTCGTGACACTGGGTTGCCGATGGTCAAACCCTGGGAGGTCTGGACCACTTCCGACCGCATGTGTCAGAGGATGGCCATCAGGTGCGATGGACGTCATGAGCACAGTCCTTGCGTCGGCGGTGTCAGGACGGCGGCCACAGCGTACTACCCAGACGCATTCGTCAAGAGGGCGGCCAGGGCAATGCTGGAAGAGCCGAGGATGGAGGAGATCTGCAACCTCGTGCGCGAGTTCGAGGCCGCGGACGAAGAGATCGGCACGGTCTACGCAGTGAACGCCTCGAAGACAGGGATCGACCCTGACGAGCTTCGGAAGGTGGAAATTGCGGCCCGTCGGATCCACGCCGCATGCGGACACTGTCCGTTCGCCCAGGTCGCCAGGTCGTTGGCAGCTCGAGGTGCTGACAAGAGGATCGTAGAGCACGTGAAAGGCATGCGGTGCCCAGCCTGTGACGAGAGCCAAGAGCACGGACGTCCCGTCGGTTCGGCGGATGAGGTGCCGAAGAAGTGGGCCGTTTTGCAGAGCGACCTAGCCGAGTGGGAGGACCCTTGCAGCAATGAGAAGTTCAAGTTAGCGCTGCACCTTGACCAGGGTTCGAAGCTCGGAGTTGGACATGTCCCGTACAAGATGGTCAAGAGTAAGAACGCGGCCGCCGAGGAGTTAAAGGACTCGATCTGGAGCCGGTGGATCGCTTATTTCGGCCGTCCGAGGATATTTCAGGTCGATCCAGAGCCTGGATGAGCATGATCATCCGGGAGAACCTGGAGTCAAGCGGCATTCAGATGGATCCCATCCCCGGGCAGGCGCACTGGCAGACCGGCGGCATCGAGCGGCTCATCAGCCTCATCAAGGATCTGATGACGGTCTTGGCACGCGAGTGCCCGGGAAGGTCATGCGAGGAATACCTGGCGCGCGCGATGGCAGCCTATAACGAGATCGACCGGCACCGGGGCTTCTCACCGCTGCAGGTGGCACTTGGCCGAGCACCAGACCTCGACGGGTCATTCATGGATGCGCCAGGTGATCCAGTCAACCTTCCCGCGCTAGAGTCGGAGGCGGTCGACACCGCGCTCGGGGATAATTTCAAATCCATGCGGCAGGCGCAGGAGGCGATGCTCAGATGGGTCTATGCCGAACGTGCCCGCCGTGCTAGTCATGCCAAATCGCGGAAGCTGAATGTATACACTCCGGGTAAGTTGGTGTACTATTTCAGGAACCCGAAGAGCAGCTCCATGACGGGCAGGTTCTACGGTGCGGCTCGAGTTCTGGCTACGGAGACGGTTCGCAGGAACGGTGAAGTTCAACCTCGACCTCGTGTGTGGCTGAATGCGTGTGGCCGCCTCATTCGCTGTGATCCTTGTCAGCTCCAGGATGCATCTGATCGAGAGGTGGCCGAGCACGAGATCATACATGGTACCGAGATGCCGTGGACGTTCAACAGCATGAGCCAGGGTCTTAGAGCAGGTCAGTATGAGGACCTCGCCGACGATCCGCGCCTGATCCCGAGCGACACGGATTTGTGGACGCAGGAGATGCACCACCACTTCCGACGGTTTCGCCAGCGGCGGAGGAGCCTAAGAGACGTATCAGCGGCAAGCCGGTACCGACGGAGCCTCACACATCGTCCAAACAGCCGCGAGTCGGACCATCGGCAGCGAGCTCATCAGCTTCGGCCTCTCAGAGTGGGGCGCCAGAGACGGCTGCGTTTCCGGCGACACCTGCAAGGCCACCGAATAAATCTCGAACGACTCCATCGAGACCCTCACCGTATGACTGGGACGGTCTTTCACCAGCTGCGGCGGCCGGCGGAGATCACCGCGGCAAGGAGCGGTCGGACAGACAGAAGCGACGCGACCAGACCGAGGAGCAGGGCCTGACAGCGGAGGTCCAGCCGTTCGAGTGCTTCTGGAGCAGGGAGGACAACGCCATCGAGGTGGAGATCAGTCATCCCGAAGGTGCGCGAGGCGGTTCTGCCGCGCGTGACCTGCCAGCGTTTGTGGCCACTCAGCTGCGACGTCAGCGTGCGGAGGTTCGAGAGCGGACAATGTCGGCCGCAGACCTGGAGAAGATCAAGAAGGCCTAGATGAAGGAGGCGCAGGAGTGGATCAAGGAGATGGTCCTGGAAGGTCTACCGAGCCATGTCAGCTCCCAGCGACCGGCTGATGCGCCTCAGACGGGTCTTGACGTGGAAGGTCGATCCCGCAGAAACCGGGGGTCGACGTGCGAAGGCGCGGCTGGTGATTCTGGGCTTCCAGGACCCAGACCTCACCACCGAGGAATCGTACGCGCCGACAGCGACTCGCACCGCCCGTCAGGCGTTTCTACAGAAGGCGGCGAACCTGAAGATGCGGGTGGCCAAGGGTGACGTGAAGTCCGCGTTCCTGCAGGGTGAGGAGCTCGACCGGGACCTGTTCGTCAAGCCCACCGGCGAGATCGCGGAGATGCTGGGACGGCGCTCTGGTCAGGCGGCCATCCTGAAGAAGTCGGCGTACGGCCTGGTGCAGGCACCTCGAGCATGGCACCAGGCAGTGAATCGCAAGCTGAAAGAGCTGAGTTGACGGCAGCTCGAGTCCGATCCATGTGTGCGGGTCCTGACGAGTTCCTCGACAGCGGGAGGCCCGGACGATATCGTAGCCATTGCTCTATCTCATGTGGATGATTTCTTGTTCGCCGGCCGCGAAGCGGACAAGGTCTGGCAGCAGGCAAGACGTCAGGTGATGGAGGCGTTCAGGTGGACTGAATGGGAGTACGACGCGTTCACTCAGTGCGGCGTCGACATCACTCAGAGGCCCGATCTCAGTTTCACGCTGAGCCAGGCAACCTACACGGAGCAGATCGAGGAGATCGAGGTCCCAGCTGAACGACGGAAGCAACCCTCTGCGCCCGTGACGAACGCCGAGAAGAGCCAGCTCCGTGCTGCCACGAGGAGCCTGCAGTGGAAGGGCACCCAGACCGGGCCCGACATCCTGGCGGAGTTGAACCTGCTGCAGAGCAAGACGGAGTCATTCACCGTGGACGACCTTCTGAAGGTCAATAAGCTGATCAAGCGGACCAAGGAGACTAAGGACAGGATGCTGGAGATCTTCCCGTTTGTGGACAGCGAGCTGGCAATTGTCGGCTGGGGCGACGCGGCGTTCGGCAACCGTGTGGACGGCAAGTCGACTGAGGGCCGCGTAGTCGGGATCGTGCCGCTGTGCTTCCTGTCCGGCGAGGAGACAGGAGTTTCCCTGATCAGTTGGAGGTCAGGCAAAGTCGAGCGCACGTGTCGGTCACCGCCAGCCGCAGAGGTTTCAGCCACAGTCAACACCGAGGATGAGGTCACGTATGTGAGGTTCCTTCTGGCAGAACTCTCGGGATGGAAACCCAATCTCAGAGACCCATGGGCCCAGGTTCGGAAGGTCCCAGGCTGCCTGATCACCGACTCTAAGAACTTGTATGATCGTTTGCGCTGTCCAGAGAAGCTCATGGGTGGCAAGGAGTTCCGGACAGGTCTTGAGCTGCTCGCCCTGAGGGACGGGATATCAGCGTGTGAATGTCCTGCACGCTGGGTACACAGTGATGCCATGCTCGCCAACAGTCTCACAAAGGGCCACGAACGATGGCAGCTAGAGTTACTTTTCAGTAACAGGTGTAGGTGGCGTCTTGTTTACGATCATATGCTTGAGTCGGCTAAGAAGCGTAAGAGTCTACGCATCCAGGCTCTAGAGAATGTGACCTGTCTCAATTTTAGGCCAGATCTCTGGGGTGATGTGGCAACTCCCGCTGGCAAGTGACACACGCACGTTTCAGGCCCGTCATTTCAATCATGGACTTGAGCGAAAATGTTTACCGGTGTCGATTTCTCTCGGTTCACCCCAGTGTGCCGTCATTCGCTCCGTCCATAGCCATTTGTGCTACAGGCCTTCATCGGGGCCACAGGAGCCCCGGAGGTAAGAGTACCTCCCTCGCCTTTCCTATTCTACCAACATCGAGCCCAATACGAACACTCCATACCCAACATCCTACCTCTCCCAGCTCAGCAGTGTGTGCGTGTGCGAGAAGGCGCCAGAGGAGCGCCTGGTGGAGACCAGCAACGAGGACGAGTGCTGGCCGTGTGGAAGAGGAGTGTACCCTGTGAAGCTTCGCTTCACAGAGGGGGCCCTGGACGATCGAACGGCGACGAACGAACCACCGAGAAAATAAAGGGTTCAGAAGGAGGGGAAGGACGACCGCCCACCCCCTCCCCCTCCTCCCCCCTCCTCCCTCCTCCTCTCTCCGCCCTGCGGGGGACGACCCCTCCCTCCTTCCTGCATCCCTCATCCCTCCAGCCCTCCATCCCTCATCCGAAGAGGCCCCCCATCCAGGAGCCTGCGCGCGCCGCGCCACCCGGCAGAACGCACTGCCTCTCGAGCACCTCCGCGAGCGCCTCGCCGCGGGACGGGCGGCCAGTCCCAAAAGAACTCGTCGTCGCCGTCGTCGAGGTCGTCGCCAACATTGCTGGGGCCTCTCCTGTAAAAGCGTACCAAAAGCAACCAGCTAGTTAGCCTGGAGGGGGACCAAACCCATAACAACTTCATGCAATGTTGGTGATGGACGCCTCGAACCGTGCGAGGGATATGCCAAAACGTGCGCGGCGAAGCATGCAAACTTTCCCGCTGGGTCCGTGGGTGGATATCCACCTGGGGCACGATCCGTTTGAGGGTTGTGTCGACATGGGCGGCATGGGCGGGAAGCGCGTGCGAGTTCTGCCGCTGGGGCTGCTACGAGCGAAAGCGAGAGCGAGAGAGAGAATGATAGCAGGGCCACAAGGACACGAAGTAGGCTACGAAGGGCGACAGCGGGGACACGAAGGGAATGCGGGGCCACGAAGAGCGCGAACGAGCGGGGGCCACGAAGGGCATACGTATACTGGGCCGCGGAGGGCAAGGACGGGGCCACTGAGGGCAGCAACGGGGCCACGAAGGGCAGCGAGGGGGCCACGAAGGGCAACAGCGGGGCCACGAAGGGCAGCAAGGGGGCCACGAAGGGCGACAACGGGGCCACGAAGGGCATGCGCATGGGGCCACGACGGGCGCGAACGATCGGGGGCCACGAAGGGCAGATCATGCGGGGCCAGAGACGGCAACGACGGGGCCACTGAAGGTAGCAACTGGGCCACGTAGGACAGTGAGGGGGCCATCAACAGCGACAGCGGGGCCACGAAGGGCATGCACATGGGACCACAACGGGCGCGAACGAACGGGGGCCACGAAGGGCATACGTATACTGGGCCGCGGAGGGCAAGGACGGGGCCACTGAGGGCAGCAACGGGGCAACGAAGGGCAGCGAGAGGGCCACGAAGGGCGACAGCGGGGCCACGAAGGGCATGCATATGGGGCCACCATGGGCACGAACGAGCGGGAGCTACGAAGGGCATACATATATGGGGCCACGAAAAGCAGAAAGGGGGCCACGAAGGGCTGCGACGGGGCCACGAAGGGCAGCGAGGGGGTCACGAAGGGCTACAACGGGGCCACGAAACAAAGCGAGGGGGCCACGAAGGGCTGCAACGGGGCCACGAAGGGCAGCGAGGAGGCCACGAGGGGCTGCAACGGGGCCGCAAAGGGCAGCGAGGGGGCCACGAAGGGCTGCAACGGGGCCACGAAAAGCGAGGGGGCCACGAAGGGCCGCAACGGGGCCACGAAGGGCAGAGAGATCGCGATTCTTAGGTAATCTGGGAGGGAGTCCTAAACGTGAGCGCGACTCCTGGGTGCCCGGGTGTCGGGAGCGCGGCGCGGCGCTCCAACGCAAGGACGCTATCCTTTAGTAAGTTACAAGCAAGTCTCCAGCGAGAGCGCGACTCCAGAGCGCCGGGAGAGCGATTACTGAATTACTTGTAAGGCAGTCCCAAACGAGAGCGCGACTCCAGAATAAAATGCAAGGAAGTCTCGGGCGGGAGCGGGTGCCCTGGCCAAATTTGTGAGGAAGTCTCAGGCGGGAGCCGTTGTTGTTGCAACCCGGGGGCCAACGACACAGTTTGACCCTCAAGACTTTCCCTGATAAAAAACCTGGTGCGAGCCCCGGGAAGGGCACTTCAATCAAGAAAAACCAATGTGCACTGGACGGGGTGGATCAACGATAATTATTCTTTAGAAATGAAAACTCAACATCAACAACAACGACAACAACAACAAGAAAACATAACAACAACAACAACAACAACAACAACAACAACAACAACAACAACAACAACAGCAGCAGCAGCAGCAGCAGCAGCAGCAGCAGCAACAACAACAACAACAACAACAACAACCACAACCACAACCGCAACACCAACAACAACAACAATCAGTTTACCCACATGCGCAATGCTTCCACACGAAGCAAGCCACCATCAGGATAACCATCCGTTGTTCCCATTCCCAGATCTCCCGCCCAATGAGGTCTTGCAAACACCTTCTCCGAGGAATTTCAACATATCCCGCCTCGAAAACACATGCCCGCGCCTTGCTGCGCCGATGCGAGACCGCCAGTGGAACCCCAGCGAAGGGTAAAGCACAATGAAGTATCGAAAGACAGGATTGCCTTGGTGGGGATGGGGGTTGTCGGCGTTGAGGCAAGGACCTGGCCCTGAATAGAAAGGGAGAAAGTCTCGAGCAGGGTTGATGTTGTTGTTGGGAGCGGCGCCAATGCTGAAGAGAGAAGGGCGCTAGTCTAGCGTAAAACAAAACGAAGTCTCAAGCGGGAACGCTGGTTTTGTTTGGACGGCGGCTTTCGGCGGCGGGGAGGAACACCGCATTGAGCAAGAAAGGAGGACGCATCGAGCGGGAGCCATGATTTTGTCGGGACGGGGGCTGTCGGCGGCGAGGAACGGCACCTTCCCGATGAAAAAACAAGGAAATCTCGAGCGGGAGCGTTGTTCTTGCTGGGAACAGCGCCAATTCAAAAGAGAGTCGGGCGCCAGTCCAGCGAAAACCTAAACGAAGTCTCGGGCGGGAGCGCTGGTTTTGTCGCAGCGGCGGCTTTCGGCGGCGAAGAGGAACACCGCCTCGACTAAGAAGGAAGCAGCATCGAGCGGGAGCCGTGGTTTTGTCGGGACGGGGGCTGTCGGCGGCGAGGAACAGCACCTGCCCGAGGAAAAAAACTAGGAAATCTCGAGCGGGAGCGTTGTTCTTGCTGGGAGCGGCGCCAATTCAAAAGAGAGTCGGGCGCCAGTCCAGCGAAAACCTAAACGAAGTCTCGGGCGGGAGCGCTGGCTTTGTCGGGGCAGCGGTTTCCGGCGGCGAGGAGGAGCACCGCCTTGAGTAAAAAAGTGAGGAAGCCTCGAGGGGAGCGTTGTTTTTACTGGGGGCGGCGCCGATGAGAGAAAGACTAGCGCGCCAGTCCAAGGTAAAACGGGAGGAAGTCTCGAGCGCGAGCGCTGGTTGTGTTAGGACGGCGGCTTTCGGCGGCGAGCAAGAACACCAGCCCTGAGCAAAAAAGGAGGAAGTCTCGAGCAAGAGCGTTGTTGCTGTTGGGGGCTGGTTTTGGCGGTCCCCCAAACCGCTCGAGCGTGAGCCTCATTTTCAATGAAAATGTAGCCGGCGCCTCGGAGAGAGCGCCAAAGCGCCTTCAAGGTGTCCAACCATAAAAACTATATAGTAATTAACAGCCAACAGCAGCAGCCACAACAACAACATCAACGCAACAAACATAGCTCTCACCACGAATTCCGAATTCAGCCACGCACCCAGGGACAATGCATGACCGTTCGCCCCCTGAATCTGATGTATGCATGTATGCGTGTGTGAATGTATGTGCATATATGTATAGATATATGTATATGTATATGTAAATGTATATGTTTATGTATGTATGCATGTGTATATGTACATATCTATATGTACATATAAAAGTATGTGTGTATGCATATATGTATGTACGCATATACATATATATATATATATATGTGCGCATGCACGTATGTCTGTAAGTGTGCATGCATGTATGTATGCATGTGTGTACGTATGCGGGTATGTATGAGTGTATGTATGTACGTATGTGTGTACACGTACACATGTATGTATGCATGCATGCATGCATGCATGTGCGTATGGATGGTTGTATGTAGGTAGGTATGTACGTATGTATGCATGCAATGCACGTGCGTATGAATATGATAATGTGTATGCATGTGTACGGATATGGTTGTTTGTACGTGTGGATGTCTGTACGTCTGTATGATTGTGTGTAGGTATGTATATACGTTCGTATGTACGTGTATATGCGTGTATGTATACATGTATGCATGCATGCATGTACGTGTGTGCCTGCATGCATGCATGTATGTATGCATGCACGTAAGTACGTACGTACGAACATACGAACGTGTGTACGTACATAGGGACGTGCGTATGTATACTGTATGTACGTATGTACGGATGCATGAATGCATGCATGTATATGCGTATGTATACACATGTGTAGCCATGGCGTATACATGTGTATATGTGTATATATATGGATATGCTTGTGTGTGTATGCGTTCTCCGTAGTAGTGCAAGCTCCAGAAAACATCCCCATCGGGGCTTCTCGAAGCCTCCTGGGCCGTCTTGGGGTTCTCGGAGGCCGTCTTGGTCTCTCTGGGCAGTCTTGTGGGCCTCTCGGGGCTGCTCTGGGGCGGTCTGGGGCCCCTGTTGGGTTGTCTTGGGGCCCTCTTGGGCCGTCTGGAAACTCTCCAGGGACCCTCTTGGAGCGGCTTGGGGCCATGTTGGGCCCCTCTTGGGCCATCCTGGGCTAGGCTTCCCAGGGCAGCCCCACTGTGCCGCGGAACCCTTTACTTTCGTCGTGGTTCGTGTCGCATGGTGGTTCGTCCTCCTCGGCCCCCCACTGAGCCTGAGCCCCAGCTCCCCTGAGCCAGCCACCCTTGGGAGCCTTCCTCCGTCCAGCCTTCCTCCGTCCATGCTTCCCAGTCCTTCGCAGCTCCTTTGCGCAAGAGCCAGGGCACGTGTGCCACTTGTTTTCCTAAGGTTTCTGACGGATTTTGACATTTGCTTCTGTTCGGCCTTCCAACGGCCCGACACGGTCCAAGAGCCCCCAAAGATCGCCGAAAGATCGCCCAAGAGGCCTCCAAGATGGCCCCAGAACGGCCCAAGAGGGCCCCAAAACGGCCCCAAGAGGCCCCCCAAACGGCACAGGAAGCCTTTAAGACGCCCAAGGTGGCCTCCAAGATGGCCCGGGAGCATCCCAAGAGGGCCCCAAGTCGGCCCATGGAGGCCGCCCAAACGGCTTCCGACGGCGTCAGACAGACCAGGAGCCCACCAAGACGGCCGGGCATGGCCCTAAGATGGCCCAAGACGGCCCAGGAGGCCTCCAAGAGGGCCTCGGAAGGCCAGAAAAGGCCCATGGGTTGTAAAAGGATAGTGGCATTTGTTTTTTTGTTCGGCCTTCCGACGGCCCTAGACGGCC